GTCAATAAAAGTGCCTACCATCGGCACTGTGCTAAGTGCTGAGGATACAAATGTGAAAAAGCCGGTCCAGGTCCTCTAGGAGTTTACAATTTAATAGGGGAAATCAATACACCAGAGAAAGCTGAAAGAAAAGGTAATAGGGTGGGGCCACGGTAGTAGTCAAAGAAGCCCAAAATTACTGCCAGCAGGGAAGGAAGTGAAGAAAGATTTGAGCAGCTATCAGTTCTATGGTTGCTGTTAGTGAGCGTCATTCCTCTATACAAATCAAGGGACGCTCCTCTACTCAAACACTTGCAAATACAACCATGTTTTCTTCTCCAGTCCCAAAAGGCATATTAAGGTGACAAATAATGAGACTTAGGGCATGGGAAGGAAACAACCATGCAAAACAGAGGTGGATGAAAGACAAACAAATTTACTAAAAGAGTTACCTTCTAGGAAGTGGATTACCCAACAAGAGAACATTTGTTTTTTAATGCCACAAAAAATTCCCAGCCCCTAAAAAAAGCAATACTTTGTCTCTAGGGCTGCATTCTGGGCTACGAATTAGCCAAAAGAGTCACATCAGATCAAATTTAGACCATAACATGACCCTTCAATAGTGGCAACAAGGAGTTTATAAGTTACGAAGAGAATGTTTGCTCAACAGAAGCTACAACTATAATTAGAAGTTCTCATTATCTTCAGTTGACTTCATCGAAATCACTGATGTACAGTCAGAATCGCTAAATCAGAAGTGATCTTAAGAGATTCAGTACGTTATGAAATCTCAACTGTAGGTACAATGGTGTCATTTGTCTCTTTAAATGCTGTCGGAAATTGATGAATGAAGACTCAAAGGTGTTAAGATGCAACATGTAGGTCTTTATTATACCTCATCTACTGATATGTGAAGTGGAATGAGAAGTAATGGAAAAAACAAGGACTGTCTTCAATGACTGATGTGGAGAACCACTACCTTTCATTATATAATATTAGAGGTTTCAGAAGAAACTCTTACTAGGAAACAAAGCCTCCCTCCCTTACCTTATAGGGCATGGACTCAAAAAAGATGGAGGTGGCAGAGACTTTCTTCTTCTCTGTCATGAACCCGTGGGTGAGGTGACCCCCATCAGGCAGATCTAGACCCATAATCCTCCCATGTGGTTCCACCAGGGCTGTGTATACTGCAAAATTCGCAGGTGATCCTAGAACAGAAAGCACATGACTTAAGCTGTCAGAGTGCCCAGGTTCAATGAGACCAATTGGAAATTAAGCTTTCAACCCTGGCAGCAACTCCCCAGAGACTGGGCACCAATTTTCTTACCCCAGGGTGGCTGGGGGTAAGGATAGCCCTACTTCTCTAGGTTGTCTCTATGGTATGATTTTAGGAAGACCAGGAAACCATCCTTTCCCCCCCACCCATTATAACCAAGTCTATCACTGATGTCTGAAAGTCCATCACTAGGAACTCCACTAACTTTGAGGGGTAACAAACTGACCTACTGGTTATCAACACCTGAGTTTGAATTAGTGATCAGATCCCTCTGGGGCAAACTAGGATCTCCCTTGGAGAGATAAATAAGGAAGGTTTTGAGAAATAAAGTAGAGTCAGGGCAGTGCCATGGGAGGATAAGCTTAAGAAGCCTCCAGTAACCAAGAGGCATGAGTAAATGGATCAGGTATGGGGGATATGCTAAACATAAGGGAAAAAAAGGTCTGTGCCTATTTCAACGTTGCATCCAGAGCCAGTCTCAGGTTGGTGTTTCAAACTCCTTTCCTAGGGCACAGAGGGCATAAGTCCATATAGTTCTAAGCTGGACAGAGACACAGACATGGTAGTTACCTGAGTATGGCTGAACATTGACTCCCCAGTTTTGTGGGTCCAGGCCATAGACCTGCAGAGCCCTCTTCTGACATAGAATCTCCAATTCATCCACAAACTGGGTGCCACCGTAATACCTAAAGGATAATTAGGAAGAGAGACTTAGAAACATCCCAGGACTTGGTAGAATGTCTAAGCTGAGTACAGAGAGCACAGATGTGTGGGGAATTCAAGCCATGGAGAACTGGCAAGGAAGGAATGAAAGACCAAGACTCTCTCAAGGGGACAGTCCCCAATTCTATGACCATATGAAGCCAAATGGTGGCAGTGGAATAAAGGGGAGGGACTTGGAAGCCAGAAGACCTGAGTTCAAATCCCAAATTGGTTACTGACTAGCTATGTCACCTAGGTTAATTCTGAAACGAATGGATCTCAGTTTTCTCATCTGTAAAATGAGATGATTATCCCTGTGATTTAGCCATAACTAGAATCTGCTTCCTGGTGGGTAGCAATCTCTAGAGAACTGAATTAAACTGGGGAGGGACAAGGAAACCACTGAATGTTAAAAGCTGGAAAGCAGCCTCTATCACTACAGGACGGTTTATTTTTTCTCTAACTGTCATCAGGTCAATTACCCAGGTAGAGGCCACAACTTTCCTAGGGGTTATGCCTTAACAGAACCCATTATGCAGAGTGACTACAACAAACCAGCGCTTGTCCTAATTGGCTTCTATCATTCTGGAGGACATGAAAATTATGGTAAGAATGAACTGAAATCTTAAAATCTGCTCTAAACAAGCCAACCACACTACAGAGTGGTGGTAAAGGCTCAACTTCTGAAAGTAGGGGCAAGATGAGCCATGGCTTAGTCAAAAGCTTAGAGGTCTTACTCTGGAAATGTCAGTTGTGTTGATTCTATAGGAATTCAAATTTTCAGATCCCCTTACTCCCTAAGGAGTAAACCTCAAGCACTGGGGAAAATTATGAAAAATCTCTTTTTTAGTTTCTGTAGAAATATGAAGAAATCACATGTTTCTCTAAAGTCCTTTCTAAAATACTTGGGTAAGCCCCTTCGGACAAAAAGGTTTTTCTTTGGTCAACAGATTACGTGTGGTACCCTAAGGCATTAACTCTGATCTGGTTCATATCATTGCCTCTCTTTTTTTCCACTAAGAAAAGATTATGATATCTATCAATGAGAGGAAGGAGGTTTTTATTTAACTTCAAAGGAATGGGATGGTGTCTAGGTTGCTCAACTTTCTGGTATATTATCCCAAACTGTATTTTAAAATATCTTTTCCCTGTTCAAGATAACTATAAATGTTCCTGAAATCTTGGGGCAAAGTCATGTCAGAGGGCATAGGAGACTATGCCAGGTTGGACATCTCTCTCTTCAAGCTAGAAGGGGCTTGGATATAGATTAATGTCAAATTAAGCCTAAATCTCAAAGTATAGTCTTACTATTAATATTTTTTTTTCTTCAACAACCTGCTCTGTTCACATACCTCTGGCCTGGTAATCCTTCTGAATATTTATTATTCAAGCAAGAACCCAAGGCTTCCAGAACTGCTCGGCTTGTAAAATTCTCTGAAGCAATCAGTTCCAATCCAGTCTTCTGGCGATGATTTTCCTTCTTAATGATTGTATATACCTGATGAAAGTAAAAGAGATCATTAAGAAAGTAAAATTTTCCAATCCACAAGTCTGCTTCCACCAGAGCCAACAGCATCTTAAGAGTTAAAGAGTTAAGAAAGTAGGTCCTATTTTTTGTAGGTCCCATTTTGGGGTTCCAGTGGCTAATCATGTAAAACCCAACTGAAAAAGAGGCCAATACAATCCTAAGGGGGCAGATGTGAATTTCACTTCTTGTTATCTAAGAAAGAACCAGTGGTTTAGAAAATGAGCTGAGGGAGAATAAAATTAGATTAAGATGATTATCATTATAGTGATATTTATATTTTATAGATATTTGATAAATTATAATCATGTATTATACACATTATATATAAATGCCATATATTTACACAATATATAATTATGATGAAACTAATTATAAATTGCAGCACAGTAGGATCTTGTCCTTTAAAGGACATAAGCATTTGATATGAGAAGAATCCTTTGATTATAAAGGAAAAAACATACACAGTTGTCCTTCGATCCAGTAATACTACTTCTAGATCTGTATCTTAAAGAGATCATAAAAATTGGAAAAGGACCCATATGTACAAAAATATTTATAGCAGCTCTTTTTGTGGTGGTCAAGAATTGGAAATTGAGAGGATGCCCATCAATTGGGGAATGGCTGAACAAGTTGTGGTATATAAATGTAATGGAATACTATTGTTACAAGAAATGGTGAGCAGGCAGATTTCAGAAAAACCTGGAAAGATTTGCACGAACTGATGCCGAGTAAACTGAGCAGAATCAGGAGAACATTATACACAATGACAGCAGCATTGTGCAATGACCAACCTTGATGGACTTAACTCTTCTTAGCAATGCAATGATCTAAGTCAATTCCAAAAGACTCACAATGGAAAATGCTATCCACATCCAGAAAAAGAACTATGGAATCTGAATGCAGATCAAAGCATTTTCTATTTTCTCTTAATTAACTTTTCCTTTCTTCAATTTCTATATTTCTATTTTCTCTTTGTTTTTTCTTTTTTGTGGTTTTCTCCTTTTATTCTGATTCTTCTTTCACAACATAATGTGGAAATATGTTTAATATCATTGTATATGTGTAGTCTATATCGGATTGCATGCCGTCTTGGGGGGGAAGGGGAAAAATTTAGAACTCAAAATCTTATAAAAGTGAATGTTGAAAACTAAAAATAATTAATTAATTTAAAAAACCATATATAGTGGGAAACAGGAAACTTGAATTCTAATCTTGAGGCTGCTGTTACTTACTCATGTAACATCTGGCAAGTCCTATACCCTCTCTGGGGCTATTTCCTCATTTGTAAATGACCTTAGACTAGATTATCTCTAAGGTTCACTCTAAACCTAAACATTTTATGATTCTGTAATCTAGCGTGGCAGCCAGACAGCCCAGTGTATAAAGTGTTAGACTCCAAAGTCAGCAAGACCTGAGTTCAAATCCAGCCTCAGACATTTTGTATCTGGGATATCTTGCGTAAGTCATTTTCTTGGGAAAGTTATCTTCTTTCAGTCTCAGTTTCCTCATCTGTAAACTGGGGATAATAATAGCAGCTAGTTTCATAAGAGTGTTGTTAAGATAAAATACGTAAATCACCATATAAATGTTAGCTATTACTATGTAGTCATTTTTCCTAGACTTCCAGGTCTGGTGCTGCTCAACTTTCTGGATATCTTAGATACAGATTAATATGAATTGAGCCTAAATCTCAAAATACAGTTTTTCTTCAACTACCTGCTGGCCTAGGTATCATTTATAAGGCTGCCTTTTATAAAGTTAATTCAATGAATTCAATAAAGATAAATGTGTCTTTAAGCAAAAGTCCCAAAATAATAATGAAAGCAATGATATCAGCAATAATAGCTAGCATTTATAGAGCACTCTGAGATTTACAAATGCTTTACATAAATTATTTCATTTGAATTTTCACCAAAAATCAAAATTTCACAAAGAGTTATAAATTATTGTCCCCAAGGAAAAAATCCTTTTCGGTAGACAGTCATGAGGATAAGCATATTCCTGTACACAGGTGTTCTCCAGCGTAACAATCCATTATTACCAAGTGGTCTCTCACCTCTATATCATTGTCTTTCAGTGGCTGTGTCAGCATATTTTTGTGGGCTTCCCAGAGGTTGCTATTATGGTCCCCTCCATTGACTGTTGATGCCATACTTCTTGTCTAAGGATTCCTGAAACCGAAAGTAGGCTGAAAAGAAAAAAAAAAAAGAATTTGCATATCTTCAAAATGAAAGACAGTGAAAACCCTTCCTGGCCCATTAGATTTCCTTTATTACAAACATGCCGAATGAAAATTTGTACTCGTTTCAAAAATGCTTGCCTACTATCTTCCTGAAAAGGGACCTGAAAAACAAATGGAAGTTATTAAACAAGCTACAGGTTAATAATAATAATAATAATAGTTCTCACTTTAAAACAAGAGCTCTTTCTTTACAATAACCCTGAGATTAGTAATTCTAGGAAACTCAGGCTCTGAAAGGTGGTATCACAGTCACATTGCTGATAAATTGGGATGTGAACCCCAAGGCTAGGACTCTTTCCACTACACTACACTATCTTCTTAAAAAGGCATAGCTAATCCAGACATCCTATTTCTTCCTTTAAATTCCACCTCCCAAGAAACTTTTCCTCTCCTCCTCCAAGCCCAAGGATCATATATTCCCTTCACTAAATTCCTATACATAATAGTACTAAATGTGGCTACTACTGTACTTCTAATGGTAATTAACTTTTCTTTTCCTCAATTAAACTACAGTATAAGCTTAAAGTATATATTTATATATTATGTTATATATTTACATGTTATTATATTGTATGTTATATATAATATATATTTATTATATATTTATATATATTTGTAAGTATAAATTACAGTATAAGTAAAGGGCTAAGACTGTAAATTGGTTATTATTAACAAGTTAGATAAGCATTGGCTAAAAGAATGGGGATGTTTATCCTACAGAAAAAAAGATTGGCAGGCCAAGATAGCTGCCTTCAAGTATCCATTAAGTACAGAAGTGATTAAGGATAGGTAATAAATGAGACAAAGAATGGCCTCTTTTACCTAGTTTTTAAAAAAAAAATCAATTTGGGAGGAGAAGACCCTTCGTGTTTCTGGTCAAAATAGAAACAATTGCTATTTACATTCACTCTGAGCCATGAGGGCTTGGGCTGGGACCTATTGTTGGCCAATCAATGATAGCCAGAGTGGTCTGGATTTAAGGCATGGTCCTTAAGAAAGAAATTGAGCCTATAAACTCCCAAAATATCTTGCAAGGTTTCAGTGGTCAAAATTTACATTCCTTTGGACAGAGCACCTGCAGGTAAAGTTATGATAAGCTATATAGACAGAGGGAGAGTGGAGGAAAGGACAGAAGGAGGGAGAGAGGGAGGGAAGGAAGGAAGGAAGAAAGGAAGGAAGAAGGGAGGGAGCTGCATTGGCCAACTTGAACTGGCCACTTCAGTCCCCAGTGGGCAGCTCCTACTACTCACAGGCTGTCATTTGTCCTTTGTTCTGAAAGAAGGGCACATTAGGAAGGTGATGTCATGACACTCTCTCCTCCAGAGTAATATGGGGCCAGTGGCAAGCTACAGATCAGGAAGATAGGAGATGGTCCTGGATGCAGTGGGACACCTTGGCCTTTTTAAGCTCAGGTCTCAGTCTGACTGAGGCAATACCATTCAATGAATAGGTAAGAAATGAGGCAAAGAATGGCCTCTTTTACCTAGTAAGAAAAAAATAAAATAATCAATGAATCTGAGAGAGGAAGACCTGGGAAAGACAAAAAGCCAAAGTCTCCCACTGCATCCAGGGCCACCTCCGGTCTTCCTGATCTACATCTTGCCACCAGACCCAGAAGAAAGTGAGGCTGGTGACTGCACAGCCCTCCCTCCCAGCCCACCTTTCTGATGTCATAACCTTCTTGAATAATGAAGGACAAACAACAGCATCTAAAAGACAAACTTATTCCACTTGACCCCAGAGGGCAGAACTAGTAGAAATGGGTGGAAGTTGAGAAGAGGCAGGTTTAGGCTTGATGTAAAGGAAAACGTCCTATCAATTAGTTATCCCAAAGGGGAATGGGTTGTCTCGGAAGGCAGTGGGTTCCTCTTGCCCTCCTTCATTAGTGAGCTTCAGGGGAGGGCTGCATGGCCACTTGCTGGGCTGTTGTAATAAGGAGAAACCTTCTAACTTTGAGATTTTGTGCCAAGAAATAGGCTGCCTCCAGGCTCAGGTAAGGGGTATAGTAGGCAGCTAGGGGCCAGTGGATAGAGCACTAGGCCCAGAGTCAGGAAGACTCATCTTCCTGAGTTTAAATCTGGCCTCAGACATGTACTAGCTGTGTGACCCTGGGCAAGTCATTTAACCCTGTTTGCTTCAGTTTCCTCATCTGTCAAATAGACTGGAGAAGGAAATGGCAAACCATTTCAGTACCTTTGCCAAGAAACTTACCAAGACACATAGAAATCTATTTTTAAATGATTCTGACCAAATTAAGGAAGAATTGAAAAAATACAGGATATGTTATCCTACACAAAGTTAGGTCAAGCAGATGTTAAAATGTCAATACTTCCTTAATTAATTTTAGGGTTTTACACAAAGCCATAATAAAACAACTAAGTAAAAAACAGAGAGACAAAAATATCAAGAGGAAGCATATGAAAAAACAAACAAACAAACCTAAGCCTGATGACTTGGGGTCTTCCCCATCAGATTTCAAAATATAAAGTGGAAATTCTAAAAATTATTTGGTAGTAGATAAACTAGAGCGAAACTGATCAACCAAACAGTATAAGGAATTAAAGGTACATAAAAAAAAACGAGTGTTTTACAAACACAAGACTAAGAAACTTTGAGGGAAGAGAAATTACTAAACAAAAATTATTATGAAAATTATAGGAGGGAGGGACAGCTAGCTGGTACAATGGACAGAGCATTGTCTTCATGAGTTCAAGTCTGGTTTCCACTACTTACTCGCTGGGTGACCCTGGGCAAGTCACCTAACCCTATTTGCCTCAGTTTCCTCATCTGTAAAATGAACTGGAGAAGGAAATGGCAAACAACTCCAGTATCTTTACCAAGAAAACCCCAAAATGGGGTTAAGAAGAGTAGGACAGGACTGAAAGGACTCAACAACAACAACAAATATAGTAAGGAATGACTGAACAAATTAAGCATGACTGTCATTAAATATCATTGTGCCACAGGAAATGACAAAAGGAATATATTCAGAGAAACCTGGGAAGATTTATACAAACTGATACAAAGTAAGACTTATAAAAGACTATCAGTGAAACATTAAAAATACACAGGAGGAAGTTCATAAGGGAATAGAGACAAGCAGGGGAGCGTTGGTACAACTGTGTTAAATATAATACATACTTTGTAAAGAAAAAACAAGCTACACATAAATGAGATTCATGATTTCAGTGTTTATTAACTTCCATTACAAAGAAAAAAATTTTAAATGTGTAAAAGAGAAACAAGGGCTTTAAATCACAGGACAGGTAAATATTACATCTCTATAAATAATACAATAAATTTCATTGCTACCATAAAGTATACTGCTAAAAAAAAAATACAATAATAAACTCTAACTGGGGTTTTCCAGTCAAGATAGATGATAATAAGACGTTCAGAAGGGAGCCAGGATCCCTACATAGCCTTCAAAACAACACAAAGAAACACCGGAGAAGAGAAAAAAAGGCTAAAATACATGTAAACAGAGAACTGGCAGATGGGCTCCCCAGCCCTCAGAGACTGCTGATGAGTTCTCTAGTTGGTTTCAGAGCCTCTAGATTAAAATATGACTCCGAGTGACCTCTCCAGTCTTTTAAGATTCAGAAAAACTAAACTACTCTATGTTCTCACTCTGTTTCTACCTGGCCTCCATGCATTAATAAATGACTAACCCAAGTTTCTCTGGCTGGCTGTTTCTGGTTTCTATACAGAGCTGGCTTTGGCTCTCTGTTCATGGACTCAGCCCCACAGAAATTTCTATTAATCCTTTTCAGTTGTGTGCAACCCCAGGGACCCAACTCATCTCTCCCTCTTCTTTTTACTAATGATGGGTAAGGCCCAGAGACGGGGGTAAGAAGGGATCAGGGCAAGGTCTAGGACCTTTTGCCAAAGAAGGTACTAGAAGTAAGAATTTATAGCAGTGATGACCAGGACCGAGGTATTACAGTGATATTATGCTGATGGTTTCTACACACTTATTCCACCCTCCCAAGAAAGGGAGAAAAAAACCATCACACAGGGAATCTAGGGTCCTAGTCTCCACCGTGTGTGGAGGGTGAGGAAAATCATGGATGAAAGCAGCAAGCAGTGACCAACAGAACCCCCCCCCCAAAAAAAATTATATATCTACAATATCTCTGGCATTTATTTGTCTCCACTTTTCTGTTCCTATTATCACCTGCCTAGACTATTGGGGGAGGTTAGAGGGAGGCCAGTTGTTAGGTGGCGCAGTGTCAGGCCTGACCTGCGTTCAAATCCAGCATCAGACATTAGCTGTGTGACCTTAGACAAGTTAGTGAACCCTGTGTGCCTCAGTTTCCTCATCTGTAAAATACTCTGGAGAAGAAAATGGCAAACCGTTCCAGTATCTCTGCAAAGAACACCCCAAATGGGGTCACAAAGAGTCAGACACGACTGAAAATGACTGTATTACAGCAGTATCCTAAAAGTTATTCATGGGGCCATTCCCCTCCTCCTCCAATCCATCCTTCATGTCACAGTACCATATACTTAAACATTTAGAAGGGGCTTAGAGGTCAATTTAGTTCAAACCCTTCATTTTACAGATGACAAAACTGAGGCCCAGAAAAGTAAAATAACCTGCTGCCCAAAGTTATACAGCTAAAAAAGAAGTGGGGGCACAGTTTGAATGCAGGTCCTCTGATTCTGAATTCAAGGCTTCTTCCACCTGAGCAAGCTACCTCAGTGTCTGTCAGAAAAATCTTTAAGCAGACATCTGGTCAACCTTTGACCTGGAAATATTCAGAGCATTTTTACATAAGAATTACTAGCATGAATATTCTCCCTGCAGGTGTAAAGATTCTAGAAATTAACTTGTCTTCTGACAGCTAAGTTAAAGCTTTATGGGTTGTTTTTAAAAACAGCCTTTGGCAGCTACTTTTTCCACCAAATAATTTTTTGTAATGAACTCTGAATAACTTTTACCTAAGACAGAAATCTTTCATAAATACTCAAAGGGCAGTTTATTTGCTGAAGTTATGCAAGAAATGTAAAGTGGACCTTTGAGCATCCCAAATCTGCCTTTTCCAGCTTGTGTAACTTTTAATAATAATAGCTAACACTTATCAGGCACTGAGCTAAGTGCTTTACAATTATGTATTATCTCCCGTTGATCCTCACACCAACCTGGGGAGATAGGTGTTATTATTATCACCATTTTACAAATGAGGAAACTAAGGTAAGCAGAGGTTAAGCAACTTGCCAGATAACACAACTAGTAAATTTCTGGAGCTGGATTTGAACTATCTCTGCTTCCAGGCCCAGCCCTTTATCCACTACATCACCTAACCACCCCTTTTAAGCAAGTCATTATATCTCTGGATCTCAATTTTCCTCATCTGTAAAATGAAGAGGTTAAACTATGTACTTCCTAGAGCTGCTTCATTCCAAATCTCTGAACCTGCAACTATTTGGTAGGCAAACATGCAGTTATAAAGGACTGAGTAACCTAATAAAAATCAAGGTTATTATTTAACTCCACTTATTTTCTGACAGTAACAAAAAACCAAACAGAGCAATCTCTAACCAAGTCTGACCGTGGGCCCCCCTTTATAAACCCAACCATCCCAGAAAAATATGAATCTCCAGGTATTACTAACCAATTTAAATAAAGTCTAACAATACTCCAGTAACAGAGAGATATTACTTTCCATTGTTAAAAGTATTTCTTAATCAGTATAAAGAGTTAAATATAGTCCATGTTCCAGAAACAGAAGGCAGACTTGGAATTATATCCTTGTTGGTCCTATGCCCAACTTATTTGCAGCAACTCTGAGCTCGGCCCTGAAGCACGGGCAATGAAACCCAAGAAGCTTCATATCTGCTAACACACATACATTCCGCAAAGCAAATTCATGTGAAGATCACAGACCCACTGAAACTTGCCTCTTACGGTGGCCGAAAACACTCCAATCCTAGAACATAAAAACTTATGTTTGAACATTAACTATTCAAGGTCAAAAAACATGTAAAGTGCAAAAGCAACATTTCCCAGCCACCAAATAATTAAAGTCCATTTGGGAAATGCCCTCTGCCAAGTGGCAGGCCTGAGTTTAAAAGGCTTCAGCCTGTTTCCCAACTCACTTCCACAAAGCTATTTATTTCTCTCTTGGACAATAAGTCCTTTCATTTCATGACAAAAAAAAATTTTATCAGTGTCACTGGATAAGGAAAAGAATATATTCAAAGAAGAATCTAAGAGAGTTAATGAGAGGCAATAGTGGGTTCAAAAGAGGCTACTACTTGAATCAGGAAAACCGAGTTCAAGTCCTGACTCTGACACATACTGGTGGTATGCCTCTGGTCAAGTCATTTATCCTAGTCAAATTCTTTTAAGGCTCAAAAACTTTGGATGGGGGGTGGGTCAATGTGCAAGGACGGAGAAAGTGGCATGAACTTAATTTAGCAATATCACCCTTTGTTCCACCAAATCTAATCAAACCTAGTAACTTTCAAGTTGGTACCAAGACTTGTTGTTTGCTCTCCTTTCTCGAAGAAAACCAAGACATCAGGAAGGTGATGTTATGACTTGCAAGTGAATTGGATTTAAGTGAGGGAGGGCTGTGCAAAGTCAGGGTTTCTGGCCAAAACAGAAACAGTTGCTATTTTATACCCGCTCTGAGCCATCAAGGGCCCAAACAAAGACCAAGTGAGGCTTGGGCTGGGACCTATTGTTGGCCAATCAATGAGAGCCAGAGTGGTTTGGGTTTAAGGCATGGTCTTTAAGAAAGAAATCTAGCCTGCAAACCCCAAGTTATCTTTTGAGGTTTCAGTGATCAAAATTTACATTCCTTTGGGCAGAGCACCCAAAGGTAAGGGTATGGTACCCTATGTGGACAGAGGGAGAGGAGGGAAGGAGAGAAGGAGGAGGGGGGAGAGAAGGAAAGAGAGAAAAAAGGAAGAAAGGATGTAACTACTCACTACTCACTACATCACTACTCACAGCCCAGCCCCAGTCCCTCTAACTACTTAATAGTTCACTCATACCCTCCCCATTCAAGGAAAACACATGGACTAGAGTTATCTACTGGCACTAGACATTCAGGATTTATGAGTTGGACTCTTTGGACCTTTGCCATTGGCCTGCTTTTTTGAAACACCTGGCTAAGCTTCCTCCCCGGAAATAATAGAGCCTCAAGACAGAGTTGCACCTAGATGGTGAATATTTTGTAATTTACATAAGTATTCAGTGAAATACTTTGCCTAGAGTTACTTCAGGTTGAGCTCAGGTTGAGCTCCCCGGTGGGAAAGTTACCATAGAAATGTTAAAACCCAAAGGTCAGCACCTTTAAACTCAATTTGCATAGAACTGAGGGAAAGGAGAAAAAACAACTTAATTCTGAAGCATCAAAACAGGGTTGAAGAAGACAGTGCACAATTTTAGGGAACGGGATCTTTTATTCGAGAAAAGCACCGGCATTTGGGGGCGGAAGGCAAGGATACAAACATCAGCTGTCACTTCCTGTGTAACCTTAGTTTCTTCATCTATAAAATGAGTGGATTGATTTAAATGACCTGAGATCCCTTCCAGCTCTAAATCCTGCGATTCTCTAGTAATCTACAACGTGAGGAACACAACCAGGCTCTGGGGGATAGACAGCAAGCAACTGGAATTTCTTCCCCGTAGGAAAATTCTACCTCCACCCCAGACAGCAGCGCACCTGGTAGAGAAATCTGAAATCTAAGTGGAGAGGCAGTATCAATTAGGCAGTATCTGAAAGCCAGTCTTCTTTCCATCCAGTCCAGTACTCTCCACATTCAGACAAGCAGCTTGTCCCCGGGGAACAAAAGAGCATAACTCCAGAAGACACATGCACACACTTTCCTCTCAGTTTGAAAAGAAAAGAAAAAGTAGGAAACCCACCCCTCTAAAAACTTCCTCCTATTTTCCGATAGGCAACCCACACAAAGAAACCAAGGCAGGCGAAAGACCCCAACACTCTCATTCATCTCCACCCTTTTAAGGTGATCTTCCTGGGCACATGTAATCTTTGGCCTAATGGACCTGACCTAGGCTTGGGGGGAAAGAGTGGAAATCAGCTCGCTCGCGATGAGCCAATCTGGTTCTTTGCTAGCAAGCCGTGCAGCCGGGCGCCCGACCTTGGGTTTCCAGTGCCGCCAGGTGCCAGATGTGCAGAGAAGCGCCAGGTCCTTTCTCTACTCCCTCCGCAGCTTCTAAACCATCGAAGGTTTCCTAGAATGTCAACTTTTCTTTCGGCGGGAGGGGAATGTATATCTCTTTGGTGAAGCTAATTCTCAGAACACAATTTCGTGCACGAAATTAAATACACAGGATAACAACGGAAACCAATTCTGGTGAAATAAGATATCTAAATGTGAATAACAACAACAAATCAGCCAAATTCAGATCCCACGTGAGGAAGCCCCGCCGTAGAGTTACATCCGGCCTACAAAGAGCGCTCCCCAGAATTCAGAGGAGGGAGGGGTGCAGGGCTTCGAACTTGCCTAAGGTCGGGGTGCGCAGCGCAGCTAATGGGCGCGGATGCAGCCGGTCCGGCCGCGCTGATCTGGGGTGGAGGTGCAGGACGCTGTGGGGGAAGGGAGAAATCTCGGTGGGGGGGTGACTCTGAAACCCCCGCCCTCTCCCACGGGCGGCCCGTTAGTTGCTAGTCTCCACCGCAATGCCCCCAACCACTTAGGACCCCGGCACCCCCGGAGACCTCCCAGAGACAAGAGCGCGAGTAGCCCGCGTGACGCGGCTCCCCAGACCAGCCGTTATCGCGGCGAGGAAGCCGCGGCGCGCACAGCTGGGAGCGCCCCAACGCTGGCCCCCGTCCCCTACCTGGGCGGGCACCAATCGGCAAGCAGCGGCAGAACACCCGAGAGAGACCTTCTCTGTCCCAGGCTGGAGCGGTCCCTCCACTGAGCCCTGCCCCTTCCCAGCCCCGCCAGATACTCTAAGCGGGAATTGCTGGGGGCGGGGGGGGCGGGGGGGGCGGGGGCGGGGGGCGGAGCCTCTTTGGTCTGGGACTGGGCACCAGGAAGCAAGCTTTGCTCCGCCCCTTTCCCGCTCCGCAGCACGCTATAGGCGGGAATGGCAGTAGTGGGCGGAGCCGACTAGGGAGAAGGCTAGAAGGAGCCAGTTTTCCCTATGGGTGACTCTATTTGGCGCGAGTAACTTCCCTCCAGCGATCTCTGCTCATTGGCAGGAATGGCAGTGGTGGGCGGAGCCACTCAGCCCGGGAGAGGGCACGAGGGCGCAAGTTTTGGCGCTGCTCCAGCCCCTCCACCGAGCCCCGCCTCTTCTCCGCTTCGCTAGAAGCCCGGGGCAGGCATGGTAGGGGTGTGCGGACCCCACGTGTGCTAAGAGAGAGTACTAGGGTACAGTTTTGCAAAAAAAGGGAGGTGGCAGGGCTCTAATCTGGCGCCTCTCTGTCTCGCCACGCTAATGAGGGAGAAACTTGCTGCTATCGTGCTGGTCCTAGATTGGAGTCGCCCCCCATTTCAAGGAAGATTTTTTAAAAATTAGTTCTCACGGCATTTCATGCCCCAGTAGGCCAAGTTCAACTAACTTGGCAACCCCAAAATTTAAATAACCTATTATTTCTCAAATGAGCACTCTCTTTTCAATTCTAACTGCTACCACCCAAATACAAGTACTTATTTCTTATCTGGATTTAGGCAGTATCAATAAGCATTTATTAAGCATGTATATATACATATATACACACATATTTGTATATACATATAGATAAATTTCATATATGCACATGCAAATAAAGATACACATAGACACACACATATATAATTCAAACTACCACATAGGGTACCATACCCTTACATTTGGGTACTCTGCCCAAAGGAATATACATTTTGATCACTAAAACCTCAAAAGATATCTTGGGGTTTACAGGCTAGATTTCTTTCTTAAGGACCATGCCTTAAACCCAAATCACTCTGGCTGTCATTGATTGGCCAACAATAGGTCCCAGCCCAAGGCCTCACTTGGTCATTGTTTTGGCCCCTGCTGCCTCAGAGCAGGTATAAATAGCAACTGTTTCTGTTTTGGCCAGAAATCCTGAGGTTCTTCCCCTTCCAAGTTGATTTTTTTTTTTTAGCTAGGTAAAAGAGGCCATTCTTTGCCTCATTTATTACCTAGCCTTAATCACTGAATGGGTGTTGCCTCAGTCAAACTGAGACCTGTTAAAGACCTTAACTTAAAAAGGCCAAGGTCTCCCACTGCATCTAGGGCCATCTCCAGTTGTCCTGACCTATGTCTTGTCGCTGGACTCAGTTGACTCTGAAAGAGAGAGTGAGGCTGGTGACTTTGCACAGCCCTCCCTCACTTAAATCTAGTCAGGGCATCGACTTCCTGATGTCATGGTCCTCTTGGAGAACAAAGGATAAACAACAACAGAGAGACAGTCAGTGAAAAGGCATTGAGTTAGCAGAAGTGTCATAAGGGAGAAATAGAGAGAAGGTCAATGTCTCTGGATTGTGGAGTATGTGGAGGAGAATAAAGTGCAGGAAGCCTGTAAAAGTATGAAAAGGCTCCAAATGTGAAGAGTTTTAAAAACCAGAGGAGTTTATATTTGATCCTGGAGGTGACGGGGTACCACTGGATTTGAGATTGGAGTGGGGAGAGACTTGAGGCAGGGATACCAATTAAAAGTCTATTGCAATAGTACAAGCTCTGCAAAGCCAAAGGTCAAATATTTTTGGAATTTTGCAAGTCAGTTGTTAAACACAGCCATTATGAAATGCAATCAATTCCTGCACCAGAAATGTTATTTGTCAATTTAAAAAAATTAGTGTCAACCAAAGCAGATGCTATTTTCAATAATTATTGCCTACTTTAAAGGATTATGTCTTTAATAATGAATGTTTGAAATCTAACTTGATTGCATTTTGTTTGCTGATGTTAATACAATTCTGGGAAGAAAGTTTGGAGTAGCTTCAAAGTTCCCTAGAAAATTCATCTAAAATTATTTGACACCATTTAAATTGTCGATTGCAATTATCACTTGACAATTCAACATCTGAAATAAAATTAAATATTTAAAAATATTTCTGAATAAAATGTATTCTATTTATCAGCAATTTGTTAAAAATCAAACCAAGCTAGAAACTGTAGCTAAAGAAATTGAACTTAGTAAAACTGGTCAAGTAAGAGGCCCAAGATGGGCTTACCATGTACTGTTACTGCTTTATGGCATTCATTCTGCATTATATGTGTATTTTTCTCTTCGTTTGCTAAAGAGATTAGCTAACATTAATTGCTTCCAAGATTTTGCTTTAATGATTGACTTTCTTGAAGAATTTTTGTTACTTTCAACAGCCTTACAGTGAGGATTAACATTTAGAAAGTACAAAAATTAGTCAACTGCCTCATAAAAGCTTTGGAAATTTTAAAGATTGTTAACTGGGAAACTTGAATATCAAGTTAATTATTAAGTCAAATAGATTTAAAGATTCAATTTCATAAAAATAATAAGTTTAATCCTCTTCCTTAGGAATATGTTATTAGAAAATATAATTCAATATGTGAACTTATATTGCTTTATCAGACTGAAATAACAAAAGAATTTTTAATTATTTCAATTTATTAGAACTATCTACTTGGCCTTAAGGGCTGCTAGGTGTCACAGTGGATAAAGTACCAGGTCTGGAGTCAGGAAGACCTGAGTTCAAAGGTGACCTCAGACACTTACACTAATTGAGTGACCGACCCTAGGCAAGTCACTTATCCCAGTTTGCCTCAGTTTCCTCATCTGTCAAATGAGCTGGAGAAGGAAATGGCAAACCACTCCAGTATCTCTGCCAAAAAAACAAGACAAAACAACAACAACAACAACAAAAACAAGAAGGAGTCACAAAGAGTTGGAAACAACTGATAAGGACTTGTAATCAAAAGAATTACAGACTACGCAGTACTTTCACTTTAGGTTCAGATCTCAAGATATAATGACACGTACTCAGTATAAACTTAACAATCACATTTATTTTACAATGATTAATAATGATTAAGGCAACACAAGCATATAAAGAGAAGAATAACATTCAATGCAATAAGTAATAATCAAAATCAAGAAAAAGAAGAATAAGAAAAGAAAGGATACTTACTCACTGACCAGGCAAGCTCAAATACCTACAAGACGGGGGAGACTGGAAACGATCAAAAGGTCTGATCAGGAGGCCAAAGGAGCAGCCGTCCTGCTCTTAAACAACAAGGGCTGTGCACGAAGTCCACCCTTGAACAACAACAGAAATTCGGCATCCCTATCTCTGAAATCAAAGTACTCCAAAAAATCCACTTTCAGATGCCCCTTTTATATCTATGTAAACCAGGGAAAGACAATCTTAATATTTTGTTTTGTGTCCATATCCTTGGTGAGCTCAGGTCCTGGATATGCACACATTCTAACAAAGGTGGGAGCTTGATCAGAGCCCCAAATACCTGTTTGTTGTGTAAGTCTCCAAGGAGGGATCAGGTCTTTGAACAGTTACACACTTCTCTGAAGAAAAATGTTCCTTGAAATAAGAATTGCTTTTCCAGGTAACATAGTTTGTTGGTTACTTAATGTTCTGTCTCCATGATAACCTCGGCCACGCATAACTCCAATTTACATTTTTTATGTCAGGTCATGAGGTGGTTTCACGAGGGGCTGGGGAAGATCTTCCTCAGTGTCCCTCGCAGGACTGAACAACAACTTGGCCCTATGAGAAACCTTATGAATTGTTGGTGAAAAAAAAAATTGTATCATTTAAGTGATTTTTTAAAACGTGAAGTTGATTTGAATAATTTTCAGAATTTTATAACTAACAGTGTAGAAACAACCAATATTCCCATCACTGCACCTCCAGTATAGGAAAAGCTAAAAAGATAGCTAGTACTATTCAATTAGTAGTGTTAAAGTTGAAAAGGGACTCAGTTTAAGGAATATAATTTTTGAGGGTAAGTAATAGTTTAACATTGGGTCACATAAAATTTAATGACAATAATTTTTATTGGGAAAAGATCAGATTGGGATGCAACCCTGAATTGCAACCATAGGTTGACTATGAATAAAGAGCTGGGCAAAAATCATCTAAAGTATTCTTCTTGGTTTGACTTGACAGTAGGGTTCAGTCCTCAAGGCATGTGCTGGCCACATGCTGCCTGCTGCCAACCCAGGTGAGGCATTTAATGAGCATGATAACATGTAATGGAAGACCTGAATTCAGGACATGGGAAAGCATTGTGTGACTGTTTCTTGTTTTCTTACTGCATGGTGCATGAACAGGCCAATCTTACTCTCTTCTCTAGTGGCAAATGAGGCAAGAATTGCTGTAAGCCTCTAGATGGAGGAGAGCAAAAGCTCTACCCCAGGCTGACCTGTGGCCTTGAATGCATGGCACTGCTATTTTTTTCTCTCCCTGTAGTGTTTCTTACTCCCCACTCATAGGAGAATGAATATCTGAGATGGCTTTAACCTTCAAAAGGTTGGAAAAGCCACCAGAAGTGACTTGAAAGGCCTAAAGTGTCATGGCCAATGTAGGAATTCATTTTGCTTGATTGTGTATATTTATTATAAGGGTTGTTTGTTGTTTCAAATGGGAAAAGATGGGAGGGAGAGAAAATAGATTTTCGCATAGTAAGAAGTTGCTACAGAACATTCCCCTTATAACCCTGGACTTCATTCTCCCACAAATACATACAACATCTATGGGAAAAGTAGACTCTAACTTTGTTGTTCAATCATGTCTTCCCGACCCCATTTGGGGTTTATCTTGGCAAAGATACTGGAGTGGTTTGCCATTTCCTTCTCCAGATCATTTACAGGTAAGAAAACTGAGGCAAACAGGGTTAAATAGCTTGCCCGGGGCCACACAGCTAGTAAGTGTCTGAGGCTGTATTTGAACTCAGGAAGATGAGTTTTTCTGACTCCAGGCCTGGCATTCTATTCACTGCATCATCTAGCTGCCCCAGACTGAGACTTA